AAAATGCAAAAGTCTGCTGGACAGCGAAGTTGTACGCAGGCACGCGGACTTGGTGTTGTTGTAGTATGCACTCTTAGCCACCTGGAGTGCATACTATATTGAATTTCACACACTTTTGCGTCACCATTTGGATTTCCGGATTTCCCACACAAAACGCTCGTCTAAACGCAGAATAAAAAGTGATGTCACAACACCACTTTTGCGTTTTCTCTTCAGAATCGTTTCCGTGTAAACATAGCCTGAGATTTCCACTCTGGAGGGTGGTTTCACTTTTTAAGCCCCAAAAACGCTGTTGCCATGTAAACGAAAGGCACATCCAATAAAGTATTTTTATGCTTCCACCCGCGAGCGTTCTCGTCTAAACAGGGCCTTAGTTCACCCAAAAATGTAAATTATCTCATGGTTAATTTAATTTATTCATTTATTTAACAGAGACCATACAGTCAAACATAGTCACAATACAAAGCCTGTAACTGATGCGCAGCATATAGAGTTTGTAGCTAATGCTAATTTACAACTCCTGTCCCTGGTTGGGCATTTTTTTATAAAGGAGTAGTTCACTTTAGCTGATAATTTACTCACGTCCACGTCTTTCTTTCTTCAGTCGAAAAGAAATTAAGGTTCTGTTCTGTGACACACATTCGTGACTCTCCTGTTCGAACTCGTTCATCAACATAAATTAATCTTTTTCCGAGTCAGTTTGTTCGTTTCAAAGATTCATTCATGTTGATGAACGAGTTCGAATAGGAGAGTCACGAACGCGCGTCACAGAACAGAGCAAGGAGAGCATTTGAGCTTATAAAACTTTAAATGAGCGATCATTTGGCTTGATAAGACCCTTATTCATCGTCTGAAATCGTTTAAAGCCCTTTCAACAGTTTGCAGTTTGTACCGAAACTCTAATTTGGACCTTGAATCGTTTGGACCCCATTGAAGTCCATTATATGGAGAAAAATTCTGGAATGTTTTCATCAAAAACCTTAATTTCTTTTCGACTGAAGAAAGAAAGACGTGGACATCTTGGATGACATGGGGGTGAGTGAATTATCGGCAAAAGTTTTTTCCAAAGTGGGAGTAACGGGAGTGAATGGTACCTTGTTTTTACTTTTATGATGAATGGATGGAGACGCTTTTTTGGGCTTAATTTTATTTTTTTTACGATTCACTTCCATCGTAATGCTTGGAATAGCTACTGTAGGATATTTTTAATAATGCTCTGATTATGTTTGGCTGAAACTGAAAGAAGTAAGTCATATCCACCTTGGCTTGAGGTTTGAGTTAATCATGGGACAATTTAAATTTTTAAGTGAACTATGCCTTTAAAAGGGTCTCACAAAACTAACAAAATATCTTGTTAAAAGTCATTATGAAAGAACACAAAAGCCACATTTTGTAGAATGACCCTTACCAGTCGTACAGCTGCAAAAGGAAAACCATGTGTGAATGTACTTAAGACTAGGTCAGCAAACTCTATTGTCACAGGCTTAATGTTGTTGGTTAAGGCATATTTGTATCATGCGCTGTTTCGTGTAAAGCAAAAACAGGAGCATGGTGTGGGGCAAACCCTTCCTGTAAGAAGATCCCCTATGGAGAAGTGACTCATAAAGCAGAGCCAGTGAAGTTTACAGGCTCTGTGTGGGCCTTCTCGTCACAGCCGGGACGCCCTGAGGATACTGACGCTGTGATACACTCTTAGAAGAAATGGTTCTATTTAGAACCAGAAATGGTTCCATCCCCCGTTTCATATATGGAACTCCAAAATGGTTCTAAATAGAACCATTTTTTTTGGAAAAAGGTTCTATTGGCCAAGTATGGAACCCCAGGGTTCTATATAGAACCCAGTGGAACCCTTTTTTTAAGAGTGGAAGCAGAGCCAGGGTTCCAAATACGTAGCGCTGATAGAACCTTTTAAGGTTCTATATAGAACCTTTTCTTCTAAGAGTGTAGCAGCCTGTTACCAGCAGACAGACAACAAGAGGCTAACTGTGTGCTCTCAATGACCACTGTCTCTCCAACAAGGTCTCTCATTTGGTACGCTCCATTTCAAAGGTAGTTGTTTGTCACCTGATGGTGGGCATCTCATTTTGAGAGTCAGACTTTATTATAGGTCACTTATTGAATCTCTCCTTTGACTCAAACCACACAAGCTCCTACATGATTTAATCAGAGCCGGGCACCAAAGGCATGGATGGTCCTTTGAAGGCAAGATTGCAGTAAATGGCAACACAACTCTATCATCTAGTTTCAGATACAGCACACAAGTAAAGTTCCTTGTGTGGACATTTGAGTTTTTACGAGCTTGACAGTCAAAATAACTATTTATTTAATGCGCAGGTGAGAAATCACACCGTTAGCTTGAATTACTCGCCAACCAGTGACAAATAAAAACCAACAAAAGCTACTATTTCGAAACAGTTACAGAAAACTGCATATGGACATATTTGGTGCATGTTGATAGAGTGAAATAAAGTTCAGGACAACATGGCTTGACCTCCAGCACAGGGCTGTTTACAGCACAGGTCATGGGAGAGAAAAGACACTGCAGGGTCAGTCGAGGACAAGTGCAAACAACATCACATGGACCAGCATCCGGACTACAAGTCACCGTTATCTACAGTATATAGCGCTTTTTACAATACAGATTGTATCAAAGCTTGTTTGTTTCTAGAAGACAATTGCGTCACCGTCCACCTTAAGTAAGGCAGATCAATAATATAGTTAATTATAAAATGTCCCCAACTAAGCAAGCCAAAAGCCATGGCAACAAGACACATGTAGACAAAATGAGATGGAATTCACAACCTTTTTTACTCTCGTAATTTCCAGATGAAACGGCGCATTTTATGAGAAAGAAAGTAGGCTGGGACTTCATGAGTGAGTGTTACATATCATAATTGATATTATTCAGTATTAGCTTTTGTAAGGTGATATTTGAAATTTTATTTGTTGGGATAACATGGATGAATGCACAAGACCAGGAATGTCAGTTAAGGCAGGGGTTTTCAAACTTTTTGTGTGTGTGGACCACTATTTGTTATCAAGAATTTTCACGGACCACCCCATAATACACATATTATGATATTAAAAATCATATTATATTTTACACATTATAATCAGGTTCATTTGAACAACAGGCTTATTTC